ACTCGAGTTGCAACCAGAGTCACGGAACGGATTAAGTTCGTAACTAGAGGTTCCACTGTACTGTGATCTTGACTTCCATAAAGCTTCTGATAATACTGCTCAATTAAATACTGATAAAGCAGCTGTTTCTGCATGGGTTGAATAGTACTACTATTACACAGATCCACTGTTGCATGGATAAATATGGTGAAATGCTTACCGATTGTTCCTAATCAGTGTGAAGAAAAATATTAAATGGATTCCTTGTTTGTTCTTGGATCCTGCTATTTACAACACATTTCAATGATGATTTTGAAAAAGGAGAGAGGAAGAAATAAGGCAAAATATTGATTTAACAATACCTATTTCTTCCAGTTAATGGACTTCTAATACAGCACAACAAATCTGCAATCCTGAAATAAGAGACGAGTTCATTTTTTCTGAAGTCTGTCCAGACAGCTCATGTTTTTGGATCATTTTCAAATGAGGTAAGTTGACATAAATGATGCAAAACTTTCAATCATACAATTATGCAAGTGACATGAATTATGTGAATTATGCAAATCTGAACTGAATGGACATTTGGATTTAATAGACAACCCTTTCCCTATAATGATCTATTAAATCAAGTCCTTATATTTTTAAATGTACAAATGACACAAAAATCAGAAAGTTTAGGAAAAACAGAAATAAAATTAAAAACTATTTTGCCAAGTTAGAAAATTGGGTGGAAAAGAAGTATAAAATCTACTAGAAATAAATGCAAAATTCTTCATTTAAAAAATAGGAATCAAATGCACAGATTAAAAACAGGTAGCAATGAATCTGAAAAAAATCTTGAAAATGTGAGTAGCACAAACTACATGAATTAGAAATGAGATATGGCTGCAAAAATGCAAACACAGCTTTAGATTGCATCAAAATTATTGTAGTTTTCAAACAAAAGAAAGTAACAGTTCCACTTGAGAAAACATTTTGCCTTAATACTATGTTTATTTCAGAACAATATTCTTTAAGGATTTAGATAAATTAGTACTGATTCAGAGAAGGGCTACCAAGATGATCAAGCTATGAAATCCTCTTGTACCCTATCAACAAAGACAGAGGGAACAGTTCTCTTCAAGAATCTTAAAGGATTACTACACAGAGGAAGGCACAACCTCTGTTCTATAATCCAAGATTCAGGGCATGAACTAATGGATTCAAGTTACAGAATGGTAGAGTTCCAAAGGGTGGGGGAGATTTTAAATATTATTGGGACTTCTGGGGGAGGTATGGTGAACTGAAGACGGAGCTGAGAATCACAGGAAAATCCATGGAACTGGTGAGTAGACCAGTCTCCAGGATACCTCTCCGGATAAGTCTATTCATAGATTGCTTACATGTGCTCCTGACAGCTGCTCCTTGCAAACAGACTGCGGGATAGAGGTTTTCCAAGGCTTTGAGTGCCAGGAGAAGACGGGATTGGTCATCTTGCTTGCAACTGTGGCGGAGACTTTAAAAGGACACTAAGTTCACAAACCTCACTTTCTAATCACTTTCGGAAATTGCTCATTAACTACTTCTAAATTGTTAAAGACCTTCGGACAAACAAGTTTGAAAACATGGGGTGAGTCTGCCTTCAATCCTGAATGAAAGAAATTTTTAATCAAGCTTCAGAATTTAAAGAAACTGAAATAAACAGCAAAAAGCTAAATAAGACTTTGATCTTAGAAAGTTATAAACAGATTAAGGGTCCATATAAAATTGGAATACTGAAACTTTTACAATAATATTTTGGAATTAATTATAAAGAACAAACAGCTTTTCATGAGAAACAGATTCTGTTTTGGTTTTTACATTGCAAAACAAAGATAAGCAATTTCATTATTTCAGAAACTGGACACTAGAGGGGACTAAAGTTTTTAGGTAGAGGAAAGATTTACAAACCTGCAAAATGTTGCAAAACGTTCTAACAATGAAAATACTGAATGAGACTTTTGAAGAATGGAATCAGAAAATAGTAGCCATGATATCAACAACGTTAATAATGATATCTGCTTCTATGGATAGACTATGCCCAAAATATGTTATTGAAGAAATGACAGATGTAGAACAAATTTTAGCTGACAAGATATAGTATCGAAAGTGGATTTACAACTGACAGGTGAAGAGAATGATTTAGAAAAGGATGTTTCACTGGATCTACAAAAGAAATTGGCTGAGGCTTTTAAAAGGGAAATACAAATGACAAACAGAGTTTGTCACTGGATAATTTTTTCCAACTTGATTTACAAAAGAGACTTGTTAAAGTCTTGAAGAATTCTGTGCAATGGGACAAAAAAGAAATGAAGAGAAATCAAATCCTACAATATTTGAATGAACTAAAGATTAAGACTGTTAGAAATAAAAGGAAGGAATATAAAGTTGATTTATTTATTAAAACAAGATATGTTACCTCTGGGAACCCTTTATGGACTTTCTGCTGACACTGGGACTGAAAAGATTTTATGGATTTGTTTACAGATAAGAGATGGGATATGGGATGAAGAGATAGATGTTTGTAACCTTAGAGGAGGTGAAGAGTCACTAAACTTGTTTATACTTGTTATGATAGCTGGAAGTCACTACTTTATGTATTTCTTTTCTCTTTCCTTATTCCTACTTTTCTCTTCTTTTTTTTCTTGCACTTTTTACTTCTCCCTATTCTCTTTCTTTAGTTTATATTAGATTTTACTACTATAATCAAAATTCTTAATAAAAATTGCACACACAGAAACACACACACACGAAATGTTTTAAACATTGTTTACTGAACAGGGGACAGAAGTCATAGTTTAAAGAACTCTTCCAATGTTAACATATAAAGAAGTCTGAACTACTTTATCATTACATAATATGAACTTTATTAGTTAGCTTGCTACTTACTTGCTGCCATGTTAGCTTCAACCGTTCAAACTGCTCCTTCCCATCTTCGGCGCAATCAGAGCAAGTAAACTTGAAAAAGTTATCGCCTTTAAGATAGGTGATTTGTTCTCTCGTCTGACCTGTAAATAAATAAAAATCAGCCCTCTTTTTTTCCCCACAAAAACAAACAGCATAAGCCACATCATTATAAAGTATATTACAAAGTAATTACCTGAGAGTAAACTACAATGAATAGAGATAGGATGACCCTTGAACAGAAATCTTGGAATCTACCACTTTCTTATTGATAGTAATGAACAGAATACAGAAAAAATACACTAGATGGCTAGGGCTGTGCAAAACACTTCAATTCAAAAGATTCCATCCTGAAAACAGCTGTTTGTTGTTTCACGCTCAAAACCAAACACTTTTGTCTGGCAGTTCTACACTAAAATCAGAACAAAACATGTTCTTTTTTTCCATTTCAGAACAAAACTTTAGTATTTCAAGTGTCCAAGCGTGTGACTGAGCTGTTATTCCATGGCTTGTGCTTGAGTTGCTTTTTTTCAAACTTTTGACAGCTTAAGCAATACAGCAGAACTAATCAATCGTCCTTGTTGCTACTGGTTTAAACTGACCGAGATCGTGGGTAGGAAGCATGAAGAAGAAAGCAACAGTTAAGCATGTGGCCAGACAGAAGACTCTTCTCGGTTACATGACAGTCAGCCTTTGTGGTAAATTACAGTAGATTTTCTTAAAAAAAAAAAAAAAATGCTATGCAGAAGTTTACATCAGTGGATAGGTTGCAATTAAGCATATGGATGGATGAGTGGGATATATATAATTTGTACTTTATATTTCCAGCAGCTAATTTAAAGATTAATGTGTGCATGCGTCTTTGTGCTTCAGAGTAAGCACTGTTAATGCTGCAATAAATGTAAAAAATGCTTAGTACAATGTTGATTTACTTGGACCATAATAGACGGCCATAAATGCTCTTCTCTTCTATAAATACTGATCTTCAGGGTGCATTAAAAAATACAAAGGCTCTATGTTAGTTTTGGCTGGTTTCTTTTTGGATGGGGGGTGTGCATGCATGTGCATATGTGCATTTTGTCAATAGTATTATTTTGCTGTAATGTTAATGCTATTTATACAGTTAAACATCAGCAGCCTTTTTTTCCAGACAACAACCACCCCTATGTGCAAGCAAAATGTTAGCAAAAAAGCTATATACTTGCTTTAACTGGGTTTCTGCATAGAAAGCAGGCTATGTTTGATTTTGCTTAATAAATGGGGCGACAATGCATACAAAAAATTGATCAAGGAGACTGCTTTTTAAAACATTAGAGAAACCATGCAGAATTGAAAAAAAAGGACAATTTGTGTCTACCTTTCAGATTTGTTTAACTTGAGGCTACAAGAGGTACAAATTTAAAATGTAACATATTGGTTAAGGTGTTATGCCAGATTCAAGTCTCCCCTCAGCCATGGAAACTCACTGGGTAACTTTGGGCCTGTCACACACTCAGCCAAATTAACCTCACAGAGTTGTTGTGACGGGCATAAATTAAAGGAAATGCAAGCCAACTTAAACTCCTGAAGAAAATTAAGTGCCATCAGCCACATATAAAAATTAACAAATAAGCATTAAAGAAATCTGTTCTTTAGAAGGGCCTGACTTCATAGAATATTCTTAATACAGGAACAGAAATGGTTTGTGATTGCCGTCTTTCTGGATGTTTCTGAACTTTGCACTCTAACCTATAGACCTGGGATTCCCTGGTGGCTTCTCACAGAAAAAAAAAGCATATATTTTCTCTGCTATGCAACAAAGAAATGTTGATTAAAATATGTCCAAACAGCTAATATATATTTATTAATATATATTTATATTTTTAAAAAAGAACTTGTCATGCAAAAATTTATGTTAATGGATTCCTTGTGGTTTAGCCTAGTCTTAAGAAGACTGTAATCTATGTCATATACTTAAAAGACAGAACTGGTAGGAATCCAGCAAAACTAGAAGAGAGGTGGTTCCAGTGTGGAGAATGTGTGTGGGCTAGGAGGCTGACATGTGTGTTTATGTAAAATGGAGTAAAAACAGTAAATTTAAAAACTCTAATTCATAAAGGACGCAATATAAAGATCAAGAATTAGGAAGTCTTACTTGCTGGCAACCATTTTTGACATCTTTCACAGTAATAAGATATCTCCTCTGTCCATGATGTATCCCCTTCATCGCTATTCACAGAGTCCCCACTTTGATCATGGCTCAAATCCACTGATGCCTGATCTTCAGATTCTACTATGAGAAGAGTCTCTCCTTCTACTTCTCCCTCTTCCAGCCCTTCTGAAGGAGATGTTCTTGTAGCTTCATCATCATGACAATTCATCATCTCACTCATGTATGGATTTTTATCCATTGTGCCTATGTAGAATTATTTTCACTATATAAGAAATGTTTTCTTCTAATATTTAAAAAGCATGATCAGTATGACTGCCTTGGTAAATATGACAACAATAAAATTATTTAATAGAAAATTACAACAACAGCTCTTTCCTTTCACACTTGGGATTTTCTTGCCATTAGCATTTTGCTATTCTCTGTTTCAAGTTGTGCAGTCAAAGTAATATGTTCATCTAAAAGATGAAAACGTTCCTTGTATTTCTGTCTTTCAAGATCTTTGTACACACCTTCCCGTAGCCTCTGAAAAAAGATATTAATAATTACATTAATTCTCATATAATATTACTGAAAGATTGTAAAAGATCCATAGTACTGCTATAAGAAAATTAAGAACACTTCAAAAACTAACATATATTGCAGCATAAGCTTCATGGTCTACTGTCCATCAGACACACAGAGATTATTAATAATATTATAATTATACAATATTATTAATTATATTACAGACCTTTACAGATAAGATACTTAGGAAACAATATACAATAAGCAAAAAATATTCATATGTTGTTAGTCCTTGCTTAATGACCCTGAGACTGGAATTTCCTTCATTAAGTGATGTACTCATTAAAGAAACATCACGTAACCATACCACATAGCAATGGAGTTTCAGCAGTCTTGGTTGCAGCTGTTAAGTCATGCCGTCATTAGGTGAGGACCTCATGCTGCTCCTGCCCTGCCATGCTCATCTCTACTTCAACTCCCTGCACCTGCCTATCTCCCCACCATCTCTGCCCTTTTGGCTGCCCTGCATTCTGCCACCTATGCTGCCCTGCACTCCACCACCCCTGCCATCCTGCCACTCCAAGTCTTCTTCCTTCCACTGCTGATGAGGTGTGGGAGGGGTGCAGGGCAGAGTGAAGGGCAGTGGGAGTGGCAGAGTGCAGCAGGGGCAGAGGAAGGCAGAGTGGCCAAAGGGACAGAGATGGGGGAGATAGGCGGGTGGGGGAGTTGAAGCACACACTACAGTCATAAATGCAGACAGGCTGCTAAGCACCTGAATTTTGATCACCTGACCACGGGGGTGCTGCAAGGGCCGTAATTTCTAGGATCAGTCGTGAATACCATTTGTTCCGTGCTGTCGTAACTTCGAATGGTCGCTGAACAAATGGTTATTAAGTAAGGACTACCTGTAAAAATATATAAACAAGTATATAAACAAAACAATGAAAATGTAGAAGGAAATTAAATTAACCAAACCAAGATGGAATCAAAGCCAAAATGCCTTCCAGAAGAGCTCTGTTTTGAACAGCTTCTGGAAGGCAGTCAGGGTAGGAGCCAATCAGTTGTCTATTGGGAGCCCATTCCAATGTGGTGCAGCTACTGATCCTTAGATGCCCCTCATTTCCTGTCAGCCCTACCATATCTCCCTTGTGGGGCACCATTAGTAGTTTCTCTAGGATAGGATATAATAATTATATCTTATTTTTCTGTATCATCCTAATGCACTAATCAAACTGACCAGTTTCTATGCAAAATAATAAATGGGTACAAATTCAACATCAGAAATGCAATATGCCAAAGAAAAATATGGTAACTCTTAAAAAGAATAATATTGGTAAGGTTGTCAGCTCATGAACCAAAGACTATATTAATTTATTTCAATCTGCTTCTACTGTTAACTATTCTTCTTAATCTACAAATAAGTTAAACACTAGAAATACATCTTTTCATTACAAAAGATTTGTTGCAACTGCATTATCAAAAGATTTATTTTACATGAGCATAATTTACAGTTATAGTTCTAGCTATATCAAAGATATAGTTCTGTATTTGCTGTTTTAGAATTTTCTGAATGTTTGTGTATCTGCCACTGAAAGTTATCAGAGCTTCACGTGGGTCCTACTGAACAAAGATCTGTCCTGGACACCAGCAGAGGTGGTGAGAAGGGACTCTGGCCTTTGGGGGTTGAGTTAACAATATAACTACTGGCTGAGAAAAAAGCAGAAGAGTTGTGACATGCAGCAGTTGTGACATGCAGCTCATCTGATTAGACAATGTTCTAGTTAATAATTAATATTAATTAATCAGAAAAAGGAATAATCACATCTGTGCCTGTATTTCCTTCCCTGGACTTCTCAGGGATATGAGAACTATACATTATGTACTTTATTTTATTCCTCACATTGTACACAGTGATAGTAACAAAAAATCTCATCATCAATAGCAAGAATAATTCAACATTGCCTTACCTAGCCTCTGAAGTGGAAGAGAAAAGAAACTGAGGTGAGAAGAGTTCTCTGCAGGCAGAAGGCAGAGAGCGGGAAGAAGAATAGCACTTAATATCAGGGAATTGAGAATATGGTGGCTCTCTTACCCAGAACCTGGGACCCTGAAAATCATCTTCATTTTTCCTCAAGATCCGCGGATTTACTTAGTCCCAGACAGTAAAACTGTCTGGAAGAATTGGAAACTCCCAGATAGAATTATCAGCCATGAAGGCAATGGAGGAAGCAGTGGAAACGCAACTGAAGGAGGCATATTAGTTTAGCCCTGCATTTCCCCAAGTGGAGTATATGGCCCTATCACCAAATAGGGAAATAGTGAGCAAACAACCATAGATGAAAATAATAATCCTGTTCCCTAAATGTTGCCAACATTCCAGAGGGAAGTACCTGAAGAAAATAATTTATTAGAAATCAGAAAGAAAAGCAAATACAATCCCTTCAGTGTCAAGAGTTGTACTGTGAGGAGCAGCTAAAACAAGCTGGGGGCTAACAGGTCAGTGAGAAGTCAGAAATGGATCACAGTGTGTGGCAAAGTGGGTAATGCGATTCCAAAGTTGTTTGTGGTCTGGAGGCCCTCAGGGCCTGAAGAATAAAGCAGACGAAAACAGAACAGAAATCATCAGTCTTTGTGTGTTGGGCCACAGTGGAAGACTATGCAGTGGAAGCAGCATTTGCAGCTTGTAAGAAACAATAACCACAGATGAAAAGATGGTGTTCACTGGATTATTAAGAGATTAAACTGCTATTGCAACAAGGTGAGGACCAACTTCACTGCCAGAATTTACAAACTGTTAAAATATTTAGGATAAAACAGAGACTGAAACACAGTAGAAATGAAGAGGAATGAGTTTGGTTGGGATTAGTTTGTACAGGAGGTAAGCCTCTTTGATTAACAGATGAGGAGATTACCAACAAGAGGACACGCATGAATAGAAGCTATTCCCCAGAAATTCAGGTGAAAGTTGAATTTCAAGGGGAATAATGGGAAGTAATATGAGATGGGATGCAACTGAGTAAGATAGCATGAAAGAGTGTGTGATTTTATGAGACAGTGATTAAGGGAGCTGGCTGCACATTAAATTGGTTAAAGCAGGCTGGGAAGGTAGTCAACAATACAGTATAATGGAAAGATTTTATTATTTGTATTTTAATTATGTTATGTTCTCTTATATTCCCTCTTCTGTTTTATTGTTATTCCCAATGATTTTGGGAGGAAAAGAAAATGGGGGGTGAGGAGAAATATTGGGAAAAGAGGGATGCCACCAAAATTGTTGATGAGCAGAGGTGGGAAATTGAGGGTGGGCCACACTTGGGAAAGGGGCAAGGAAAACCTTGCTCTGATCCCTACTTTTAGCTCCCCTTCTCTATTTGAATGTTAAGTAGAAGAGATGTATCTGATGAATCACCTGAAATGGGCACAACTCCAAAGTAGAGGGGGCAGCGTGACAACTGTCATCTAGGGCCCTTCCAGTTGTCAGAAGCATTGTTCCATAGATGATTGGATGTAAGGCTTTATATGTGATGTTGAGCTGTTGGGATAAGCTAACACTATTGTTGTTTGTACCAACCTCCCTGCTGCCCAGCTACATCCTTACCTGAGTTTGCAGAAACTTACTGTACAGGGATTTTCCTAGACGCTTTTAGTGCTAGAGGATTTCAATTTACCTATTTTTCCTTTTTCCACTCTCTGCATGGAACTGAGGGAAACCCATTGTAAATAATATCCCTACCCAGAAACAAAATGTAACACAAATTTACAGGTTATTGCTTGCTTCTTATAAGAAACCTTAGTTAGGAATATGATAAAAGCTGGCTTAGATTTCCAGGAAGAAAACAAAAAATTTACAACACAGCCTTCAGGTTAAGCAAAAGTAAATCCACTTAAATTGTCTCTCAGAAACTCTCCCAGTTCAAATTCAGTATAAGCCTTAGAACGCACTGACATTACATACATTTAAAAACTCCAACTCCCTTACTTTTCTTCACAGAAGAGGTACTGGAAGGAAAAATCATTTAATGTTGCTTTTTCTTGAAAGAGAAACGACGAAATTACATATGCTTTTAAAAACCTTTTGCAACTGCCCTAGTACAGCAATATAAAACCGCAGATTCCTCCATAGCTTCTCTATGGAATAACTGTTACTTCTGACCCGAGAGAGAGAAAAATGGCTCCCAAATTCAACGCGGAAGCAGGATCTCGTGCGTATGAGAAATCTCTTAAGTTGACATTACCTCTCTGAGACGTCTCTGTTGGACGTGGACACCAACAATAGCTCCGCCCGAAAGCAGGACAGAAACCCCCAGGGCTGCCTTAGAAGCCGCCGACATGACACGACGGAGCGCCACAACCTCCCACGAGACCAAGCATGAAAACGAATTACAGCGTTGCAGACAAGGTGCTTAAGAGCATGCGCGTCTGCGCGGACGCCCCACGTCTTCTATGTCCTACGCATGCTCAACAGATTTGATTGACGCGCGTTGCGTGGAGGCTTTCTTTCCGGAAAGAATCTATGCTTTCGTTCGGCCATATTCAAGAGGTAGAACATTGACCCTAATTTCTTGAGTAACTCTGTTTTCACCCTGATAAAAAGACGCAGCACATTTGTTGGACAGTTGACCTAGCATTTCTAAAATTGAGGAATAAGATTGTAGCAAAAATACTCTTAATTCAATCTGCGATTTTCTGAAGAAACCTAGAGGCAAAAGCAGTAACTGATGGAAAAATACCTCAGATATGGCAGGCTTTCT